TTTGTTTTCCAATAATAACGAAGTGGGTTTTGATTTCATCCAGGCATTTTGAATGAATTTCCTATTTTTGCGGCTCTGGTTCGTCTGGCATTCTAAATAGATGACACCCACAAATGGCAAAACCCGAGAAGACCATTGAATCCACGGAGGGACTTGGACCAAAACACCAAGCCACCTTTCGTCAAGCAAACGCTGACAGCAAGGTAAACTCAACAGATTTGTACATTTGGCTCTGGCGCACAAATCGATCAGAGCAACACCTCCGAATGTACGCAGCGGGGCATTCAGCATGTCATGACAAGCCATTTTTTCCGGCGTATTGTCATTGAGGAAGACCCAGTTCAGTACATCCATGGCGATTGCCTCAATGTGTTCAGCAAATTGTTCCAGTTCAGAAACTACCTAGACATCGGGAACAAGTGCGTGAGAGGACATGGTGGTTGATATCGCTCAAGTAGCTTATTAACATCTCAGTCAAGGTAAGTTAACACTGCGTCACCTCTTTAGTTCAGAATTCAGCGTTAAGTTATTCGTCCATAAAACTGTTTTAAATCAGCAGTTTATACTTTATAACAGTTAAATAACGAAATGAACTCTAAATGATCGCCAAACATCCCAATTGTTGGAACTATGGAATACTGTTTGATTCGGTAAGGTAAAGGATAAGAGAATCCCAACTATTATTATCTCTAAACGAACAACGGAGTTTTGACCGAGCCGGTGCATTCCTTGTCCTGTGCTAGAAAATGGAAAGCAGAAAGCAATCCATGAATTTGCGGGGAACAGTTTACTTTCTGTCAAACCAACATGTAAGCTGTCTTCACTCGGCGTGTTTCAAACCAATTGAATTGAGGCAAATACAATTTGAAAATGCTTATCTTCAGCCGGATTGAGTCAGTTACATTTAGTATGTCGGGAAATCGCATTTGCCAGATGCCACTCACATGATCTATGTGGTTTGTCTTGCAATGGGAAAGTGAGGGGATAGGGTGCTGGTACTGGTCCAAAACGCTGATGATTCTGGTTAGAAATTAATGTTTATTGTCGCTTTTTATTTGAGTGGCACTGAATGAATACTAATAAACAAACAATACAATACAGTAGAAACCGCACGTTTGGCAACTAAGATGAAGCGCAAGTGAATCAGAATTGCATCATGTTGCTTTAACCAGTATTTTGGACAACACAAAAATTTGACCATTTCAATTGATAAACTGCGTTTGGATTTTTTGCAAGACGAAAGTAGATGATGTAAACCATTGGGATCTCTCCGCATCGAGAGTATTTGGTTGAGCCAAGGGTTGTTTCACAATCATTCAAAATGGATCAATAAGGGGGAGTTCACCCAATCACATCTAAACTTGTTGATCTGGAAAAATGCAGTTAGGCATAACTGGTGTTCCCAGTAATTCATTTTCTAGCCGGTTACAGACTACTTAGGTGCACCAAGGACGGACCGGATCGATAAGCAGTGCAATCCGAGAGCACTTAGTGGACACCGGGCATCAGATTATTCTAGAAGGAATCTTCAAAGTTTATAATCTTGTCTTCTTGAGGAATCCATCAGTGATCGATGAATCAGTTGAGTGATAGCCAACGTAATAAGGATGGGGTAAGTAACCTCTAATCTCCGATCCCAAGAGCATTTAGTTCATTATCCCAACTTCCATGGCTCGCGGTCGGTCATGATACAATGAATTCGAGGCATTACGTTAGTTAATCTAATCAAATTACAATCAAGTGACAAAGTCTGATCCATGATTGTTCTATAAATTTCTTATTGTGCTCTAGAAGCTTACGTGACACGTACGTAAATAAGTTCAGAACATGGTACGAATATCGTTTCGTTGTAATCCCAAGCATATAGCCCTATTTTCAGAGTTCATTGCTCGGTGCACATGAATGTGTCTGACCTACAGTTGAAAATACCTCATTATTACTTCCCGTCATTTAAGTAGTTAGTCGCTGAAAATCGAAGTTCACGAAAGTGCCCATTCAATTGGTAGGGTACCTACAATTCGGACTAAACCGTGAAACCAATTACGGACATTGCCTTTCACATACATACAATTACTATCATTCATTTCTGTAGGGTTTCAGAATATTTAAATGCGATTTATTTTGTATGAAATGCATTTATCTATCCATTTTTCAAACTATTAGAGAAGCGTTTTTCCAACTGAATGTCTTTTATTTCTGTCAGGTTCAGAAAACTTGAAATACTAGTCGGCATTTTTATGACATATGATCGTATTGCGATTATAATTTGTGGTGTGTGTATGTGTAAGGGAAGGAAGACGACCGATGTTCAGAGGTATGAATGCATATTCTGACGTTGCGTAAATGAAAAAATCCGGGGAAATTAGACGGTGTATTCAACCGAGATTGGATCAATAACGAACCGTTTCCTGGATATATAAGTGTTATAAAATGTGTGTGAATCTAATTAACAATATCTTATTTCCGTGTCATCAATGCTGAAATCTAGGGATATTCGAACGGGACAGTTCGATGCTGTACGCTAAAGTCTATCAAAGGTTGCATCCTTAGAGATCTCATTTTTCAAGACGGTCCAAATGAACTTCAAACTCATTCATGTGTGGACTTATTATTTCATAGATTGAAACTACACAAGCTATTCTAGCATACACCAAAACAAATAGGATTTCATAGAATTACAAAATATAGAAATAAGGGGAAATGTTTTTCCTTTGCACCTGAATTTAAGTAGAATGTTGACTCAGTGCTGGAAGTTACTCGCTGATATTTACCAAATAGCTGCTCCTCAGTTATGTAAAATGTTGTTTAGGCACTGCAAGAGTTTATGAATGCTACCCGGTAGGAACCAAAACCTATTTTGATCTAGTGAAATGGGATACAGACGAACATAAGTTGTAGAAGTTTCGTGATTAGCAGTTTTGTTATGATACAGTATTATGGAAAAAAATAAAGATTATTCTCGTGATCACAAGATCTGTTTTTAGATTGATTTATAGATTTTTTCTAGCTTCTAAACTGTGATGAGGTATGATCAAGTACATCTGGTAGAAAGGACCAACTTATAAAGCTTCCTCATTGTAGCTGGTTTGATGTATTGACTTGAAAAGAGTTATGGACAGTTGTTGTATCTCAGATAGAACTTGTTGACGATGCATAAAATCTGTCTCTACGGGTACTCCAGCACAGCTATAGCTGTATGATTTCAGTATCTGTGTTCTTGGGTTATTCTAGGCAAATTCTGATTTGAAGATATCTAAGAGCTTCATTTTTAAGCCGTCGGGGAATTAACTTCTTAAGACCGTACATACGTTTTATTGGTTTCGTTTCTCAGAGATCTAAACTAACTTCAGTCAGGTGTCAAGCCCAAAAGGTGAAGTGAAGGTTTGGTTCCGAAACATATAAAAACACTCAATAGAAAAGTGGATACTACGAACCGTTTATTCATCACCATTTAGAATTCACAATCAAACAACGGACGAACAAAATTGATCGGAAAGAAGAGGTTCATGAAATTCATATTCAAAGGCGACATGTCGCTGAATATCCTGGAGCACCGTCCGCCAAAACATTCATCAGCGGTTTTCCTACAAAGAATTTGAGAGTTGCACTCAAGACTAAGCCATTGGTTCCTCAGGATACATTGCTCGTCCATCCCAAGTATTGGGTTTATATCAGTTTACATCAAATTCGGTTGCTTGGTATGACGGACACACATCAAGACAATTATCTGATCGAATAGTGTAGTACTGTTCGGTCACTGGAGCAGTAAAAAAACCTATTCCTGGAACACCTGGTAGACCGGGGACACAAAAATTTACCAAGAGACATGATTAACACGTTTCTTCTCAGTACCCGAGTATCATACAAAAAGATTACCCAAGCAGATCCTGCAAAACTGCGGAATCCAAAGCGAGTAGAATTTTTCCGTTATTCTTAATATCATATTGGCGTTATCATCACCATAAAGTTGATTGTTCCCTATATCCCTGCAACGATTGTTCCTAGTTTCCAATCATCTCGTTCATTAGTGTTATTTATGTTCATAAATCCACACCTTATTTTATCTATCCGCTATTACGGCTTTACTTTTACCCATCTGCTGCTTAAGGCTACAGGACTTGCTATCAACTGCACATTTTCATACGCATGCACAACACCAGCCTAGTCCATTTATTGATCTATCGATTGACTGTCCTGTATCTGCAAATTCTGGAGCGATACATCTTTGAGAAATCCGTTGGTGTTTCCATTCTATTCTTACACATCGACGGAATTCTCTACTCTATTGTGACGAAAAAATCTTAACAGTTTATGTAAATAAAAGTTACCCAATGACCAGACAGAGTTAGTTAGATATCCAAATACCAAATGTACCTGGCTGTTAGACACATGGCGCCAACGTTGGAGGCTGAAATGTTTCGTAGGCAAGATTGATATCTTCATACGATATTTTGTTTGACTGGAATTATGTCCGACAGATTCTAAAGAACAAACAATTTCAGGTGTTTACTATGCAAATATGGACAATCGAATGAGATATGTATCCGACACGTACTGATAAGTCTCATGTCACACATTCAGAAACCTATTCCTCACTATTTGGGCATTTTGTAGATCAGAATCAAACGCATTTATGCTACTGTGGTGCTGTCAGCTACAGTCTGTGGCTGTATGTATGTGGAAGTTGCATCCGTATGTCCGATCGGCGGCCGCACGAGTGGTTTGTATATTAAGCCAAACGTGCTGACATTTGGACATCCATAATTGACAAGAGGGAGTTCAGGAAACAAATGTGCAAAGGTGATGCAACTTAAGGACAAAAAATCAGAAGCTGATCTTTCAGATCTTATCTACAAGATAAGATGTAAGTAATGTCTAGCCATTTACGTTGGATTAGCAAGTCATAAACTAAGTCAACAAGCAGTCGAACGTGACGGAAAATCCAGTCACGCTCCAAAATCGGAGTCTGGAATCTTTGGGAGAGACTAAGCTACCGCTCTACATTTCATTTCTGAGGAACACCAATAAGTATGAAGACGGAATATTTTAAAACACGCTTTCAGGTCATACAGTGGACGATCAATTATGGAATCTTTGCCCATCGAAAGCGGTCCTAATGGCGTCACTCGATCGTACGGGGCTCAATAACCATTTCGCTACCTCAATGCCACTTGCACAAACATTCAGGCATACGCTAAAGCTCAAGCTCACTCGACACTCACCGTACCACAAAACTCCTTACAGACTCTAACCTACCGTCATCTGTGATGTCGCCCTTAGCTCTTTGATCTCTTGCCCATTCTAATTTGTTACCACACCCAATCTTTTCCCTCCTAATGGAAGAATTAAAAATCTCGTCCTTTTCACATAGTTGCCCTCAAGGTTTGTTTATTATTTACTCG